GTAATTTACGTGTTTTATTTTAAAATGAATAAATGAACACGAAGCAAAATTTAAAAGACATACAAGGAAACTGTACGATCCGTTTCTTCTGACTCTTCAGAGTGCTCTCCCCGTCTCCATACGTGCAGACACACACGCACCACAGTGCACTGCAGCACACAGGCGTATCTTGTTTTATTCTACTTCACTCTATTGCACTTCGCAGACGTTGCATTGTTTATAGATTGAAAGCAAGACCCTCCACCAGCAAAGAGATTATGACTTGCTTAATTGCGATACTTGACTACAGTGGCCTGGAACCAACCCACGTCTCCCCGAGGTTTCCCTGTAGTGACTATGCTCATGTTTTATGCTTTGCGTCATTCCCCTTATTGATAGTCTCAGGGACATATAGAGACGCCTCGTATTTGTTTCCCATTGTATGGTATTTGATTGTATGTATTATGTGAATTCCATTGAAGTGGAATTAGTATCAGTGAGGGGGAGCAAAGAAGTGTGTGTTAGTGTTGGGGAAAAGGGGCAGGAGTTGGAACTTCTGGTCCCAGGACCCTCCACTGATTACCCCAATCCTAATCTTGGTTCTTTGGCCTGGATTCTCTGAGCATGCTCAGATACGAAATTAAATACTAAATGTGGTGGTGTTGACTGACCACCTGTCCCAGGGGCCCAGAGACTCCTCCTGCACCCCAATCCTAATCTTGGTTCTTTGGCCTGGATTCCCTGAGCATGCTCAGATACAAAATTAAATACTAAACTGACCACCTGTCCCAGGGGCCCAGAGACTCCTCCTGTGGCTGCCCAGACTTTGGGGCTCAGCCCCAGACCACGCAGGCCCACCTGTGGAGGGGCCCTCACCCTAACTGCCTGAAGGAGAGGCCCGGGAGGTGTGGGGGGGCAGCTGGCTCCTCTTTCCCGGGGGCTGGACCTGGGCCAGTCCAGCTTCACCGCCATGCACCTGAGCTGCCAGTGGCTCCCTTCTCCCAGTGTGGGCCACTGCACTCAGTCCCACGTACACATTCAGGCCAGCCCAGTGCGCGTGCTCAGACCTCGGGCTTCCAGGTGGGGCGGTGAGGTTTGATCTCCTCCCAGGCGCCTGGGTTGAGCGTCTTGGCGGAGGGGGTGATGTTTGTTGGTGGAGAGAGGGATTGTTATGACAAGAGTCCCAACCATCTCAGGTAGAGGTGGAAAATAATTGGTTGCCAGGGCAACTTGATAACTTTGGTGGGGTGGGGAAAAGGTTTCTGTAAGGAAACAGCGGGGTTCTTTCCTTCCTGGTGAGGCTTTGCCTGCACACTCCCCCTCGTGCCCCCAGCCTCTATGCCCCATTAGGACTCGGTTCACAGTTACTGAGCTGTTGCTGTGTGCCCAGCTCTGGGCTCAGCTCCAGGGAATACGGACGGGTGGGCAAGCCCATGGATTAAGACTCTGGAATCCGACTTTCTCGGCTCAAATGTCAGCTTGGCCATTTAGCTGTGTGACCTTACACAAGTGCCTTGCCTCCTTGTGCCTCCTTTTTCTAGCTGTAAAGTGGAAAAGCAGTGGTAATACACGCCTCATGGGGCTGTAGAGAGGATGCGAAGAGTTGACATGCATAACGCACTTGGACTCGTGGCTGGCACGTCAGGAAGCAGGCATTGGTGCTATGTTATCATTATTACTATTCTTGCCATTAGCTACCAAGGTGAACCAAACAAATGCCATGTACTCATGCCCGAGGAGCTTCGTCTTGCATCTTTTGAACTGGCAGGCAGGGTTGGCTTCTTGATGGGGCCTCTTATGGCAGCCACGCCTGGTAGTTGGGCCTCAGGAGCAGGCATGAATGAAAGTGCCCTGGGGACTGAGGCCTCAGGGAAGGACCTTGTTACCTTCATTTGACACCTCGTGCCCTAGTCCTTGCCTGACAGCCCCACCCCCACCCCCCGTGGCTACAGACTTGGCCACAGAAGTTGGGGTAAGAGAGAGAAAAAAATTAAGAGAGTGTCTTCTCTCCTGCCTCCCCTTTAAAAAAAATTCTACAGATTTTAAAATACTTTTTTTAGGGGAGGAAGATTATTTTTTCTGCCCCACCCTTAGATTAGACTAAATGATGGGGAATGGTCCAGAGAGGTGGATGGCTCACCCACGATCACACAGCAGGGCATGGCAGAGCTGAGTCTGTCTCTCCCGCTCTTCCTCCTCCTCCTCTCAGGTCCACCCAGGCCTCCTTTCCCCAGTGGCTATGCCCAAGGGTCCTCTCTGCCCTTCCCGACTCCCACCCCCACTCCGGAGGGGGGCACAGTGTGGCTGCCCGGGAGCGCCAGGCACCTAGGGAAGGAGGCGGGCTTTGTTGCCGCCTCAGCAGCTGTGGCCGTTTGAGTTTCCATTAAGCCATTTCCGAGCCTTGGGCAGGAGCAGGAGGCTCGGCATTTAAAGGTCACCCGGCTTTTGAAGCTGCAGCGACATTAATAGCTCGGGAAGAAAACAAGCCTGTGCAGGGGCAGGAGGACAAGACGCCTCTGTCAGGGCTGCGCCCTGCTCCTCCCGCTGGAAGCTCACACGCGTACCCACAAACACACACACACACACGCACACGCACACACGCACACACACATGCACGCACACGCAGACCCTGAGAGCCTCCCTCTGTCTCCTGGCCCACTCCCCCTTCATTTCTCCCCCTTCTGGGGCCTCTCCAGCTCAGAAGCCAAGAAGCTAGGCAGACTTCCCCGCGCCCCGCCCCCACCACGTCTGAGGTGACAATTGGACAAGGATGCAGCTGCCCCGGCCCAGCAGCCTCTCCATTAACACTGCCATTACCCACTTGAGGTTTCCCCAGAACCTAGCCATGGTTACACAAGCGTCCCAGGGGTCATATGACCTCATTCTGGCCCTGCCGGCTTTTGCAGCCTGGATTCCTGATGGGCCAAAGTTAGCCCGGGCCTACCCTTCTTGTACGGGAAGTGAAAGGGCTGGCAAGCAGGTTGTGTCTTGCTTGCCAGTTCTAATCACTTGGTAGTGGCCTGCCCAGAGCGCGTTGTTAAAAAAACAAAAAATGGTTCTGAGGACAACAATACTGGGATGGATTAGTGATGCCTGCCAGGGACGCAGGAAACAAACTGGAGGCATGTGTACCTCGTATTTCCCGCCTGGGAATACATTATCCTGACACTCTCGGATCTTGGATTCTAAGATCCCTGGGGTGGTTGGGTGGTTCCTTTCCCTTTTAGTCAGTCCAAGGGTGGGGGCGGAGCAGATTCTTGGGTTCTGAGAGAGGAGCCGCTCTGTTCGCCCTTTCTTAGGAGCAGCCGTGGCCAGAGCCCTGGGACACCACCTAGTGGCCTGCCGTGGTGGCACTGGGCTGGGCCCAGATCTTGGACCAGAGAGAGCCAGTCCCTCTCCAGGCTGTGATCAAAGCAATCACAGATGGGTCACCAGATCCTATCTGTCCCTTGTCCCTATCCCTGGTGGGTTTTCAGAGAGGGAGGCCAGGGGTGTGTAGGCACAGAGCTGGCCTGGGGCAGTCCCACCCGCCTTCAGAAGAGAAAGGGTTGGGCAGGGAAGTGCTGTCAGTGGGGACCTCTGCCCTTCCAGCCCCACCCCCTGTGACCCCCCACCTTTCAGAGGTGAGTCCTGGTCCTCATGGGGGGCAGTGGAATGTCGAGTCAAACCTTGAAGGGAGTCGACCTCCTGCCCCCTGGAGCCGATGCTGGGCTAGAAAAGGGACCAGCCTGACAGCAGCCTGGCTGCCACCCTCAGGCCGGGCAACGAAGGCTCATGGCACTTTAACCGTGTCACTGGCTGCCATCAGGCCGGGCAACGAAGGCTCATGGCACTTTAACCGTGTCACTGGACTGCCTTGGCTTCAGTAGCTTGGTCTGTGAAGGGGGATGGACAGTCAGGCATGCCTCTAAGAAATGGTTTGTTGTGAAGACTGAGAACATACAGGAGAAAGGGTTTTGGAAGTGAAAAGGCTCCACCCACCACAGCCATGAGCCCAAGGAGGAAGGGAAGGGAAGATGGTCCAGTTGTGACATGGTTTGTTGTGAGGACTACCTGAGAACATACAGGAGAAAAGGGCTTTGGAAGTGAAAAGGCTCCACCCACCACAGCCACGAGCCCAAGGAGGAAGGGAAGGGAAGATGGTCCAGTTGTGCTCCTGAGTCTCTCCCTCCCTTCTTGTCCACCAAACAAATGCCCTGTGGGGAACTGGCATCTGCTTAAAACTGGCCACCTGTGGGGCATGTCCTACCACTCCATGCCAGGCTGGCTCATGGCACTTCCTCCCCACTGGGGCCGGAGCCCTCTGCCCAGGAGCCCTCTGCTGGAGGCCTCTGCCCAGGCTCGACCCTCATCCCAGCCCCTAGGAGCCTCCCTGGGCCTCCACTTTTATCGTATTCCTGCCCCGTCAGAGACATTCCTGCAATGCCTTGCCTGTCATACCTGCTACAGGGGGAGGGGGAAGTGAGGCTGGGTGTGTGTGTGTGTGTGTGTGTGTGTGTGTGTGTGTGTGCACATGTGTGCATGGTTTGATGGCAAAGTTGGAGAGGTGATGCAGGCATGTGCACACCCACGGGCCACGATAAGACCCATCCAAGAACATGAGGACCCATTGGGTTTGAGGCAGAGGAATGACATGAGGCAATGGGGGAGGTAGGGCGACAGACTAGGGATGGTGGAAGTGGAGGTGCTGAGGCGGGGGGAGGGGACGCAGATTCTGGAATCATTTTGAACACAGGGAAGACTGAATGTGCTGCAGTTGGTGTGGGTATAAGAGAATGTGAGCGCTTAAGAATGACTCCCGAGTGTTTGGCCTGAGCCACACGGAGCTGCCATTAACAGAGATGGAGAAGGCGAGGAGCAGCAGGCTGCGGCTGGAAGAAACCACAAAGGCGAATGACCTGTTATGTTGGAGCTGCTATTGGGCATCCAAATGGAGGCAGTAGGTGGGTGGGCAAGTGTGGAGTTGAAGGGTGTGTTCCAGGAGACCTCAGGGCGAGAGAATTTAGGGGCCAGGATCCAGCATGAAGATGGAATTTAAAGCCACGGGACTGGATAAGATCGCTCAGGTTGTGAGTGTAGTGCAGGAAGAGGGCTAAGGCCCGAGGCCGAGGCCACGCCAACCTGTCTCATTGGGTGCTTACTGTGCTCCAGGCACCCTTATAAGTCCTATCACAACACCCCTGCCAGGTGGGTATCATCCCTGTTTTTGCGAAGGAGGAAGCTGAGGTTCAGAGAAGTGAAATAATTTCTCCACGTGACATAATGTTATTAGGGCCCCATCAGGATGGGACCCGAGGACTCTGGCTCCTGGGCTCTCACATGCCCTTTGTGGACCCTCCCTGGCCTTTCGGGAGACGGTCTGGGATGACGTTGGGCAAGGTCAAGAGAACAACCCTGGGGCAGCTTGCCTCCCTCTCTGGGCCAGGAGGGAGTGACTCAGGCCTTGGCTGTCTACTCAGGCTGGGAGTGAAGGTTGGCCGCTTGCCACCCCCTGCCAGGCCTGGATTCTTTTACTGGGAAGTGAAAGGCCTGGCTCCCTGGGACCTGGGGGAGGACAGGTGTGTGATGTCTGCTTTCCGATCCCCAGGTCAGTGACAACGATGAGTTCAGGAAGCCTCTGAGTCAGCCTTCAAGACGTCTAACGGGCTCAGCGGGTTTGGTTCACTTCCTTCTTCAGAAGCTGGGCAGGGCTAGCTGTTGCCCTGCCAGTGCCCAGCAGCTGGGGTTCAGAGGGGTGAAGTGGTTTCCCCAAGGTCACACAGCCAGCTTTGGGGCACAGCCAACAGACACCCTTCCTCCCCTCCCTTCCCCACTGCTGTCTGGGTCACATTTCCTCTGCTGGAATGTCGGCCAGGCTGTGCCCCGTCTCTGGGCCTGGGGCACACGTGGCTGCATTTCCGAGGCTCCTTGGCTCTTAGCCCTGCAAGCCTGACTTGGCAGTTTTGGTTCTTAGGTAGTAGGTTCCTAATTTTGGCCCCTCTATGTACTGGCTGTGTGACTTTGTCCGTGTTACTTAACTTCTCTGAACTGGTTTCCACCTATGAAAAGGAGAGATGATAACATCTATCTCTGGAGTTGTAATCAAGATTAAATGTGAAGCCAGGCCGACGTGGCTCAGCGATTGGGCGTCGACCTCTGAACCAGGAGGTCACAGTTCAGTTCCGGTCAGGGCATATGTCCGGGTTGTGGGCTTGATCCCCCGTGTGGGGTGTGCAGGAGGCAGCCGGTCAATGATTCTCCCTCATCATTTATGCTTCTATCTCTCTCCCTCTCCTTTCCTCTTTGAAATCAATAAAAATATGTTTTTTTTTAAAAGATTAAATGTGCAAGTGCCTGGCACAGCTCATAAACCTAAATCTTGCCTTAATTCTTTCATGTGTTTTAAATTGCTTTTCATTTGAGCCGTGCTGGTTGCAAAGGCAGCTTAGGACAGATCGATGACTGTGACCCTGAGGACCATCCTTCTCTCTGCTCCCAATCATGATAGCCACACCTCAGCCCTGGCCTCAGATTGCACTTGAGCTTAGTGAGAGGGGGCGGGGGATAGTCCTCTGAGAGATGGGGGCCTTAAGCCCGACCGGGTGCTAATTATAGGCAGCCTGGCTTGGGAGTCCTTGCAGAGTCCCGTGAAAATGGTATTTCTATACATCAGCTCCTTTCCCCCCTGCATTTCCCAGGACCATTTCTGAGCCACTCGCTCCTCATGCGCAGGACCACCCTTTGATGGAGAAGTCTGGGCTTTGCCACTACTGGCTCTGTGTCCTGGGGCAACTCCCTCCTCATCTTGGGCCTCATCTCTTCATCTGTATTATAGAGCAGGGTGTGGGGCTGGCTTAGAGTTGTCAGCCTTTTATGTGTCACGGCACACACACAAAATACTTTTTCAAGGCTTTGCACCTGGGTTAATGGAAGAGGCTTCTTGACCTGTCGTGTCTCCAGCTGTCCAGGCCAGCCAGACATCCCCTGGCGCTCTGAGGACCAGTATCTCCTTCTAGAGGGAATTCCAGGGGTTGACATCCAAATAGTGGGGAAGGATCCCTTAGAATCCCCCGCCCCATCTACTCTGGGTGGCAGCGTGGCCAGTATAGTGACTGTTCCTGCTTCTTGCTTAGCCTTCTGGGGCAGTGGCAGCAGCAATCACAGAGCTAATCATGTTCCAGGCACTGGGCTGAGGATCACCTTGTTGAATTCTCATTGAAGCTCCTCTACTTTCTCAGTGTCTATGCCTCAGTTTTCCCGTCTCCAAAATGGGGATACTAGCACCTGCCTCAGTGGGGTCTTGAGTTTGGCCACACAGAACACAGGATGGTGCCTGGTACAGAGTAAGCCCTTGCCAACTAGTATAGCCCTCCCTGTGAGGGAAGAGCTGTGGCTGTTTCATTATTGCAGCTGGAGAAAGCCGCAGGAGGCAGTTCCCCCGTGGGCGTGGCAGGGGTCTCCCCTTGGCCATCAGTGTGTTGCATTCTGCCCCTGACTCTGTCTTCCTCCTTTCCAGGTGGGACCGTCCGTGGAGCTGGCCCCAGGATGCTCTGGGGGTGTGGATGACCAGCCGTCGAGCCTCCCACGGCCCAGGCCCGGATGCCGCCGCCCCACGAAGACCACTCCCAGAGGGCCACCTAGTTTCCTGACCCGGGGACCCCGCCCGTCCGGTCCC